TTCGTCGTTATCGTCAGTGCTGTCTTCACTGATGCTGTCTCCGAGCTTAATTCAGCGGTTGTGATCTCGTTCCTGTAACTGTATCTGTTAACTGTATCTGTTAACACACTTTATTGTTAAGCAGACACGTAGTAACGGAGATATAGATTGGTAGACGTGGACGTGGCAGTTAGGGCGTCGTCGGCTTCCTACGGGAGGCAAGAAGGGAAGGTGTTGCTTGTATGAGGCCTAGACTCGTTCTGCCTGTTCCTGGGGACACAGGTCATTCCTCCCTCTGCCTGCCCAGGGGCGTGGCCGCCTGCAGCGGGCCCTCAAGGCCTGGGGACACTGGTCATATTTCCCTTGCCCTGCCCAGGGGGGTTGGCCACCTGCATCCTGTTTTCTTTGGGGGTCAGGTCAGCGGCAGATGTACCCGTTTGGCGAATGTCACAGACGGGTTATACGGAATAATTGATTGATTGTCACTATCATGTTGAGTAAAACGGGAATGAGTCTAAAAATTCCATCTCCCAGATGAATGTGACTGATTTAAGGAAAATCGAGGATATCCTAATTTCGAAAAAGTTACAAATACGACATCAATTTCTCGATCGATAAATTCGGTATCACTAATCCTATATGCCCTTAGAAACATGGACGAGACTACTGACTTGTTAACATACAACGGGTGATTCGAGAAAAAATGAAGGTAATTAGCAGTGTGTGTAGGTTTACGGTAAACCGAAAATTTAGGCGAGCCATTTACATTAAACAAAAGGACGTCGAGAAAAGGTAATTTACCTGAATCTTCCCATCCTACTTTAACAGTATACATGTTGACAAATGTAGAAAAGGCATGAATGAATATGAATATGAATCGTAACGTTTCGAACTCTTCACGAGTTCCTCTTCAGACGAATGACAAACCGAAATGGATACAAGGAGAGAATTTTGACAAGAATATATAGTGGTTGAGAAACAGAACGAACAAGAGCTGAATCAGGTCTCAGGAGGAGGGTCAAGGTCGAAGAGTCTAGGGAAGGCTTTGCTAACTAGCGAGGGGGTAAGGTCATTCAAGCTCCACTGACCAGCACCCAAGTTAGGCATTTTTCTAATTAATAGAGATTCTAACATTTTCTTTCATACGAATTTGCCGATTTTAAATTAACTTGGTGCCTTTCCAGTTAAGCTCGTGACCTTCATCACGTAAATGAACGAAACCCGATTCTCTGGCATTTATGTACATTAATTCCTTTCTCAAAAGCTTTACCGGTCTCGACTAAGTAAAACTTGGGGGCAATCCTTACAAGGTATGTGTGGAATTCATGTCAAACAAATTGCAAGTAGAACAGCGAAGGGAAGTACAGGAAACCACCCGAATATGCCGAAGGCCATTTCGCATTTACTGCTTCATCAGGGCATACAGAACAAGAGATACATAGAAGTATATATACATGTACTTGGCGGTCAGGTCACATCGGTGATCAGGTGAGCGACGACCTTGGCTAGTTCGTGGCTTCCTGTTGCGGTGTTGAAGTTGTTAGTTGAGTGTATGTATGCCGCTTCTACCATCTTCCTTTGTCGTGGGGGCAGGCCTTGTTTTATGATGGAGGCCTGGGACCATTTAGGGAGATGACCGTCGGTGTCGACGTGAACAACGAAGGCGTTCCTCCTGTCATGTCGTCGGATGGCGCTGCGGTGTTTGTTGATTCGTTGTTCGTGGAGGCCTCGTCCTGTCTCACCTATGTAAACTTTATCGCAGCCGCCGCAAGGTATGCTGTACACCTGGCTAAGAGGTCTTTTCCCTTACGATGTATCCGATCTTCTTACCAGACGTGATGGCTATCTTCATCGTATGGCCCAACAGGGCCTCCAGGTGATGCATCAGCTGCGAGTGTGGGATGATCCTGTGTGTTTTGTTCTGTGTGGCGTCTCCTCTTGATCTGGACATGATCTTTTCTGCCTTGCGTCGGAGGTGGGCGAGCAAGGTGCGAGGGTAACGGGAGGCGTAGGAAGGTGTTGTTGACGTGTTGCATTTCCTCCTCCAGGTATTCCGGGCTGCAGATTCTAAGTGCTCGGAGGAAGAAACCAATGACCATGCCTTCTTTGGTTCTATTGCTGTGAGCGGAGAAATAGTGTATAAAATCATCTTTATTAGTTGGTTTTATGTACAGAGAATGCCGGGCCATCAGGTCTCCTATGGATTACGGTGTCGAGGAAAGGTAGCTGTTCGTTTTTCTCCTTCTGTTGTGAATTGTATGGATGGGTGCACTGCGTTTAGTCTATGGAGGTCGTCTTGAAGGTTCGTCCTGGTCGGTACTACAGCGAGGATGCCATCTTCATAACGAAGCCAGACTACATTATTCCCCGCGATGTTCCGTTAGTGGTCATCCTCGAGGGTTTCCATGAACAGCTGGGCGAGGACTGCTGAAAGAGGTGAGCCCATCGCAAGTCCTTGAATTTGTTCGTACTCATGTCCTCGGAATTCGAACGGGCCAAACTCCACAGAGGCGGATGAGTGCGACGTAATCATCCCTCGGCAGTGGTAGTTTATCCTCGTTCGATCCTGTCAGCGTTCTTTTTGCAGCTTCGATGACCCCGCCAATCGGTACGTTCGTAAAGAGAGACTTGACGTCGAAGCTGACAAGCTTTTTGCATCTCATCTCGATGTTTTTAAGTTTGGCATCCTATCATTGGTGTTTGATAGATGACAACCGCTGATGGAGTTTAAGGCGCTTGAGAGTGGTGCTGCGAGCTTCTTAGCTAACCGGTGTGGGGCATTCCCTGTCCCGTTGGTGATTGGTCTCACGGGATTTCCTTCTTTGTGGGGTTTGATGTTCCCACGGATCGCCGGCGTGCGTGGCGTCTCCTCAGCAAAGCAAAGCCTTCGCCTTTTCCGAACATCTGATCTTCCTTGCTGCTCTGTTGAACTCTAGGGACCTCGCCTCCGCGTTTCCTGTAAGTAGAGATATCCGAGAGCAGTACTTCCATTTTAGTGACCTATTCGGCGCTATCAATCATAACTACACCGCCACCCTTATCGGCTGGAGCAATGACGATGGAGTTCTCTGCCAAGTTCCTGCAGGGCTTAATATACCTAGCAGGAATGGCAGGCTCACGTCCTCAGGCGCTGTATAGGTCACAACTCCCTGCAGGAACCCTCTCTCAACTGCAGAGATGTTTCTGCGGTAGTTGGACTCGATGAAGTCAGCCATGCCTTTCCTAAGGGTACTAGTGTCGAATTATAAACCTAAAGACAAGGCTTGCCTTTGAGTTTCTGTGAGAGGTTTGTGTGACTGTTAAACTATCAAGTCTTTTTCCTGTACTTCCCTTCGTTGTTCTTGGAATCTGTTACACATGAATTCCACATACGGTTACAAGTAGATTTTTTCACCGTTTCCCTTGTGACATCAAGCACAAGGTTAGGACAGCAGTTCCTGGAGGAAGAAGTGTAACACATCAGTAACCCCTTCCAATGCCCCGGTTACCCTATTTTTTTACGGATTTGCACTTGAGCTGCCTGTTACGATTACAAAGGTGGAATTTAAGGTACAAATAAAACCTATATCTCTGTAGTTACTGGCATACCTGCTGCTACTGGCTCATGAACCTCTTCTATAACAATGGGATTAACAATTGGGCGTTCTAACAAAAAGGAAGCCAGGTCGCCAAAATGTTGTGGCTCCATTTTTGAACGGCCTGTTTTTTTATCTTCATACTTGATAAAATTTAACTTTATCTGATGCCATTTTGCACATATTTTAGGTACGGTAACTCCAGGAGTCTGAAATGAAAATCATAAGTATAGATTTGATATTATACGGTAAACATTCTTTTGATTAGCAATTCAGTGCATATATTTTCTGTACTATTCTTCACTATCTCTGTAGGCCTGTTCTAATAGATACTACCCATTTATTTGTTCATGTATATGTATGCATATTTGCACACACGCACACGCGTACACACACCATCGGGAAGTGAACTGCTCATTTTGTGTAATAGTTTTTGTCCATAACAATACCCTCACCTTTGTCATCCTGGGTGATGACGATGGTCTCGTCGTCGTGGAGACCATTCAGCACGGTGATGTATGTGCATTCTCATTTATACCTTTCTATATGAGAGAAGGAATAATGCAATGCCGCATTGATATAGATATATAACAATCCTCCCTGACCTGGCCTCGAACCTAGGTCACTCCGGGTATGAGACCGGAGGACCAGTACTAAACCAATCGTGCCACACGACCCACTAAAAGGAATGTGCAACTAGGATCTAACTACCTCCATAGACATTATCTATCTACTCATACATGAATAATGATAGCGAGGTTTTACACCCACTCCCCGTGGGCACTCGGTGGAAATGGATTTAGACATTCGAAACCGAAGTCAGATATCCTGGGGTATATATATGAAAGATTGTATCAAATTTGAGTATCGTGGCCGGGCATGCTTGACTCTTATAAATAATGACATTTGACAACACCAGGGAAAATTGTGATCTGGAAAGAAGCTGCAGGAGTCTGATGCCAAGTATGGCATTAAGTTGGTAACACGACTGAATTGAGGACAAGTCTAGCTCTGTCTTCATGGCAAGAGCTTTAGGAGTCGGTGGGCAGCCAAGTATAATTCTCAAGTTTGACAGTAACATACTGTCATTAGTCATTTATGGACCAAACAAGGGAAATATAGAAACCTTGTACATCAGTCTCAAGACTTGACTGTCCTAGGAGAAAATAAGTATCGCTATATAGTCAGTAACATGAAGTTTGAGCGTTTACGTGGTTATGGGTTTTCAGCAAAATATTGTTAGAGAGTAGCCGACCTGGCCACTACACCAAGCCCTATTACGCTTAACAATAGGCAAGGATTGCTTGCTCGCCAAAGATAGATGAATTTGTTGACTCACTGCTTAATTGAGCTTGCCAGTCATTATTACACTATTATGGAGTAACAGAAATGTAGACACAGAAGGTATCACTGACAGAATATAGGAAAAAGCTTGTCTCATTCCAGACGTATCACAATCGCTGAGTACAACCATATCACGTTCAAGGAGTACCTTCCCGTAGTGATGGGGGAGGAGCTGGTAAAGAAGCATTCCCTCAACCCAGGCGCCGAAGGTCCCGGGGCAGGGTACATCAAGGAAGTCAACCCCGGCATTCTCAACTCCTTTGCCGTCGCCTCCTACAGGAATCCCTCGGTAAGTTAATCGGGGGGAGAGAGAGAGAGAGAGAGAGAGAGAGATACAATGTGGACATATTGTATTCATATGTATAAGTGATTCACTGTTGTTGTAATCTCGAACTTGCAGATGCACACGGAATGGAGGAAGGACTGGGGGCCGACGGAGATCCTGGAGTCGTCCCACTACAGTGCTGTCCAGGACGACCCTTACCAAGACCTCCTAGCCATGGACATCCAGCGCGGGCGCGATCAGGGTGAGTCCCTTAGTGAGTCCTAGATGTAGGACTGAGGGACGTAGGATTTGGGCTGCTTTGACCCCAATTATACACCCTATTGTCCATGCCGCATTTACATATTGGATGTGGGACATGAGTTTGTCTTGTTACTTTTCGATAAGCTTAGTAAACATGTCTTGGCACCTTTCTTGAATTATTGTTACAACAAAGGCAAGAAACGTGTTTAAAGTAATTGTTCGCACGATTCGTTACAATGGTTACACTGAGGAATCAAAATTTCTGCTCCAACCGCCCAAACCTCCGTATCGTTCTCTCTAGAAACAAATTAATTTGTCATTTAATAGTACGATGCATATGATACTAACATGGTATAATTTTTTCCCTTATGTTAGGTCTGGTGGGCTACCTGACGTGGAGAAGGTTCTGTGACAGCACGCACTCTTACAACACCTGGGAAGACCTGGAGAAAGGGCTGTCAAAGGAACTCGTGAACGATCTCAAGGAATTGTACCAGTGAGTACCAAGAGGTTTGATCGTGAAAGTGTCACGTTGCAAATTTTCTTTTAACTGTTACCTGGTTTAGGTAAATGTGCAAACCTTTCTTGGTTTGCTTTGTGGATTTATTTTTCCTGAATGGCATTTCCTGATTTTTGGACAGGGACATCTGGATGCAGACGATTTTACTGATCATGAGTTATCTTAAATCAGTAAAGTTTACTTATGAATGACGATTTTCAATCAAGCAGTAAATAAAAGTAGGCAATGGAGAAATTACAGGAATAAACAATAATATTTAATTATCTCTTACTTTTCTTTTTTTCTCGAATACGGATATCCTGTTTTTTTCACCAGAGACGAGATCGATGATATGGATCCTCTGGTGGCGCTGCTGGAGAAGCCGGACGAGGAGGACGGCGGCATCGTCGGCAAGACTTTCACCTGCCTCTTGGTAAGGAAGCGAAGGGGTCCAGGTTCTGCTGTGGGTGGGGTACGGGAGGGGGGGGGCGTGAGAAAAGCTGTGAACCATGTGCTTTTCTGTTATCTATCTCAAATACTTGTGTACATTATACTCGCACAAATGGGCTCGTTACCTATGTATATATAATATCTATATATATATTTTTTTGTATTTCTCTTGTATACTGACGTCCATTTACCTCTAGGCTGACCAGTTTGCCCGGCTGAAGACTGGCAACCGGTTATTCTGGGAGCACGACAGCAGCATGCTGACGGTAGAACAGCGGGACTTCATCAAGACTTCATCCCTTGCGAAACTGTTGTGCCGGAACACTCCCGTCCATGCCGTCCCTGCCAATTCCTTCCTGCCTCCTTCTGACACGTGAGTATTTTAAGGTTTAAGTATGGGAGTAAGAGAAAGTAAGGTAAAAAAAATATCATACACGGTGCTTAATTGGCAGTTAGATAGGTACCAGTACTATTGCTATATAACTACATCAACGGTGATACGGTGGCAGGTAAATCATATAGAATTGTGTATTTGTGTATGTATGCAGCATGTGTATGTATGCAGCATGTGTATGTATGCAGCATGTGTATGTATGCAGCATGTGTATGTATGCAGCATGTGTATGTATGCAGCATGTGTATGTATGCAGCATGTGTATGTATGCAGCATGTGTATGTATGCAGCATGTGTATGTATGCAGCATGTGTATGTATGTATGTATATGTTTTGTGTATGATACTTTTTTGACATTTCATATTCAAAATTTGAAGTAAACTTTAATGCGAGTTGAAGTTTCATTGATTAACCGCCCGATGCATAACGGCTTCATATTGCTCTTCCAGGAATCCGCTGGTGACGTGTGCGGAGATCGCTGCAGATGACCTCTCCCCGTGGAAAGACACGTCCCTTATCGAAAAGATGAAGGAAGTGAAGGCGGCGCAAGAAGCAGAGGAGAAAAACAAAGAAAAAACGGAGGAGAAAGCCAGTAAAAAGGAAGAGCTTTAGAGTCCGCGTTTAGGGCTGGGTGTCCCAATTTTCATGAGCGTTGCACACAGTCAACGGTTTATCTGCGAGATGTTGTAATTGTTATTTGTTTCCATTAGATGTTAACATTTTTGATTATAGAATCGTACAGGAACCAATTTTGACTATTTTTGTATTGATTATTTAACAGATCGTTCTGCTGTGCACGAGCGAATAGATTCACTTGTTGGTTGTTATATTTAAAGTCTGGATTGTGTTAATCCAGTTGGGAGATTTGAAATCCCCGGAATAAAAAAAAAGACAAACCGCTTTGCCTTTGAATATCCCAGGATATAAAAAAAAATCGCAAGTCCAACACAGCGTAGATAACTTTTTGCTGACAACTTAAAGAAGGGTTTGGAATCATTGTTTGAATTACAATAATAATAAATTAGCTCCATAAATATCACTCATTTCTAGTAAGGGATCTATATTCACTACGTCATTATTGAAATAGCATTCTATTCTGATACAGCCAGTCATAGAAGTCTGCTTTCTCTTCCATTTTGTTAGAGCTATCGAAGGACATGTTGGCGCTGTAAACCACCGGAACAGAACCAAACCGTAAAAATTGTATACTGTAACAAGATCCTCAGAAAATGAAATGACCGTATCGAAATGTGACAAGATAAAATATATAACACTGCCTTAAGAAGGTTAGATGTGAACAAAGACAGGGATATTTAAGAAACGGTGAAAGATATGGTTGGATTTAGTACTTTGTTTAATGATAACAAGGGCCAAATGTGCAAGGTGCTATCCTGTGGCATCGGTCTCCACGGGAATCGTTGACGGGCACCTGTAAGGGGAGGGGGGGCATAACAGGTGAGAGGGGCGTCACAGGCGAAAGCACCGTGGGGATACTTCTTATTTACAGGACAATTTGCCCATATATGACAGCCTCTCTCTGTACATATATTATGGGCAGATCTACACAGCACTCGCTTAATAGCCGTTGATCGGGCAAATTGACAGTCCGATGTGCGTAGTCGAGCGAAATCCCCATAAGACCCTGCCCGACACCAGTACCTTCACATGTGTTGTATGAATGGGAATAGCGACGTTCATCTGTACTCGGCAGGAAATGTTTAAACCATCAATTGTTCTTGCTTGATCACGGACAGAGGCTCTCTGTTAAGGAGTGCTTG